TTCCATTATACCTAGTTGTAAACTGGACAGTGGAGAAAAGTTTGCTCAACGGAACTTGCCGTTCGATCAGACAGTATATCATAACCATCTAATCGCTGATACGAAGACGGCAACTTATCTTTATAATTAGAAAAAGCTATTTTCATACAGTTTACGGTATCGCGTCGCCTAACTACTTTATCGAAGCAACAGCTTGAACGAGCATGGTTTCTAGCGTCGCTAAACGATCATGCGACTCAATGAAGCCTGACCGGATGCCCAGAGGCGCGCAAGCACGAAAAGCGGTTACTTTCCGACGTACTGTTGCCATCTATGCGGTACGTGCGTTCAATGCATGTCGGGTTTACGTCGCTCTCGAGTCAAGCTGCGCAGCTGACAAGCCCCCCTAAGGTAAACGCATACGACCCAAATCGCTCACCAAATGTACTGTGTAAACGAACTCAGACTATATATTGTATATTGCGATGCTTTCGTATTGAGTTTATCGTGTCTTAGAAATGCATTTTGCTTGTACGAGAAACGTCTGATCATAATAGAAATAGAAAGAACCGTTATTCCACGCCAAAAGCTTATGGCCTATGAAATCTTTGGAGCACCATTAACTTTCGTAATGGCCAACACTGGATGACCTATATTAAATATAAAACGGTGGGACAAGCCTTATCTCAACAAACATGAACATACTTCAGTATATTCATAGAAGCCATAGGGTTGCATGGGGGCGAATTGTTGTACTATTCAATTTATGTAAACAATTTGATCCAGAGGCGTAGATCTGGTATACAGGTGTTACCTTATATAGTGTTTACGTTTCGATTGTGATGGTCTAGTAAACGATGCCGAGCTTATCTCTTCACACCTTCCATAATTGAGGCCGTTGAAAATTTTACATGGAACTATTTCCTTACGACGCATAACCTTTCGGCTAAAAACACTTATATCATATACGTTTGCCCTACTGGCAAGTTAATAATACTATCCGTAGAAACTGCTGTGGTTAGCCACTAGAGACTTCGAGGTCATGAGGCATCCGAACTTCAAAAGTAACAAATGGATCTGACCATTTGATTCCAATACACCACTACTTCTTCGAACAAAAATGCGACCTTTCACCCGCGGCCCAGCTTCCTTCCTTAAAGGGAATGCACTTCTTTGAACGATACATTTCATAGAAGTCGATCGTTTTAGAATATAGAATATATATAAGAAGAATATCTTATTACTCTTCGCGCCAGCTATTTCGATTCTACAAACTCAAAGGGAAGACATTCTATAACGGAAACTTCAATTTCAGTTTCTCATCTTGTCTCAAACAGCTACAGCTCAAATTCGAATAGATGTTACGTTAATGGTCAATCGGAGCTTGTGCTTGAGGACAACCCGCAGTCTCCCTTGGCACCTTCTCGACCAACGGACTATGCCAAGCGAAAAAGAAAAATCGGTACTTACTTATGTAGGACCCAAATAGGTTGAATCAGTAAGATATGAAGGCTAGTTTATTTCCTACTAATTATGTATCGAGTCGTACTGAGTGAATTGGGGTAGGCTGACGTTATAGGTCAAAACCGATACTAGAAAATGTTTTTCCGTAATCATACAATATATGGACATGAATACGATATACGTGGAAATATTTCTGCAGTAACAATCCAACGCTCCAAACAAATTTCGGATTAAGACATTAGAAGGCAGACGTACCATTTTCAGCTCTTTTAGATGAAAACGCTTGGGTATGAACGTATGGAAAATCGGCCTTCTGTATATTATTCGTTCAGTTTTAAAATATAGCTTAGAAAATTACAACTCATAACTTCTCCCACACCTTTAGTTTGTGGTCCACTCAGGTTGGTACACTGTTATAGACACGTGTTACATCGGGATCAGTTTCACGTACACAGAGCCCTTTTGGACGTGCTCTATGATCCTGAACGGATCCTTTTTTCGTAGCCCTATTGCATTGGCCTTAGCTATTAAAACTCCAGTTACGACAGTTTTCAGTGCTGAACTTATCTAAATTTTTTCAGAGGTGCTATATGGCAGGGATCAGACGTGATAGCTATTAATTTTTAGAAGAACACATTCGGCTTTGTCTACCACTGGCTATATATGAAAAGTTTAATTCGACTCATACTTTGAACTTTTTTTTTTTATATATCCAAGTACCAGTTCTTACACGACTAAAGGCTTTTCTCTAAAACTCAGTTTAGTATTTAGTTCAATATACAACAAGAAACCGTTACAAATTAAGAAGCCGTACTTCGAACATTACTACTACTCTTTTTTAATGCAGATAAATTTTGCTTTGATATATTTTAAGCTATTTTATATATTGTGCTAGTAATATAGTTTTAATTTATGATACAATTTATGTATTTATTTATATAGTGCTTACAAAAGAATTTGTGTCGCTTTGGAGGCAAATGATAGAGCTAGATTTGACATATATCTATACATAATACCATTTTCATGATATACTAAGCTTTTATACTTACCGTAGCGGTAAGCGGTAGAAAAAATTCACTCCTTAGATGTCCCTAAAAGATTCGAATTGAACCACTTGGGATTCATGGGCTAGCCAAAGAAGCGCTTACTTCTAAGGAGTTGACATTTACTTGAAGTCTGTTAATCCAACTTTCTTTTCTAACATCACGAACTTATCTCTCAGCTGGACCGTATGCATTATTGAGATATGCATATACACACTACGATCTATTCTATATTACGAAGTTTTCTCTTTGCTTGTTTGAACGCAACCCGAAGCTAAGACTCAAACAAGACTATGGGTACCTTAAGACAAATAGATAGGTACGATTTTTTCTCAGATATATTTTATTTTCATACAAAAATACCTATCCGATAGTGCGACATACGCATGTCTTGCCTCCTCTTTTTGTTTCCTATACAACACTTAGTGTGTTTCAAACAATGTATACATACGCTAAAACGCTATTTGCAGAGCGTCTCTTTGCAGCGGTTATAACGGGTCAACAACACACAACAGCATAAAAATGAGTATTTACGAACTTACTGTAAAAGTTAAAAAAATAACCGTTATAGTTACTGGTTCTCTACAAGCAGTTTACCGACTGCTTTATCAATTAAGACTATATAGTCTCGATCCTTAGCGCTTCGTTATAGCTTATCGATGCGAGGCGTATAAGGTCCTTATGTTTACATGCCTGTGTTTGTCGAGTGGACATCTTAACTCCTGGACGGGAAGTCGAACTCAAAGGACTCTTGCTGCGTTCACTCTAAGAAGTAGTTATAATAGAATATTTTCTGCTAAACACAAAATATGAACGTTTATAACGAAAAGGTATTCTACGTTAACTTCCATATGGAAAACGTACTCTTCAACACGGTACTATTGTGTGACAAAAGAGTATATCGTAGACTATACGGTGAAGCAGAAACAGGAGTAGTATAATTAGAGAAGCAAATTATAGTATAGTGCAATTATTCATAGGCTATATATTGTAGGCGCTTATATATCCGTCAGTGTTTAGTTCAACTCCCATCACATATACACAGTTATTTATATAAGTTCACAAATGTATATCATATGATCTAACTTATTTGTACTACAGTGCCCTTTATTATCGCGCATTTGGTATGTATTACTATAATATGCCTCGAGAAAGTGATTATATGAACTCCAGCATGCATTTACAGTATACGCAATTTTTTTTTATCAGTACATTGATACAAACTATATAAAGACGAAGGGTTCTTGACCGATTTATAACAGAATGTCAGTCAGAGGTCAACGAATTAATCTAGCTTTTGACAGCTTTAAAATGACAAAAGCACGAAATGAAGAACCGCCTGCAGCTGATTTTATACGTAACAATGACAAAATTAGCATGACAATGATTAGGACTTAGGTCAGGCCCATGAAGAAGTATTTGCACGTATAAATACAGTGCCTTGAGGTAAAACTTAATGAATCATTGAAAATTCAAAGTAGAATAAATATTGGTGTAGCATTTGCAATAAATACAGCTTTATCGCGCAACCTTTACGGAAAAAAAATGTACTCGGAAACTGTGTGCCTTCGCTAACAGATACCGTCAACAACGAAAGTCAACAAGCTAAAGGGCCAAAGGACATAAGAGCTGAAACGATTTTGCCACACGCAGTTTTCAAGGCCAGTACCCTGTATGAGCAACGAAGGGCTCAAAAAGATAACGAGATACGTATAGCCCTTGACTTCCCCTAGCAGGACACGAGAAGAGAGCTTCATTGCAAAGCCAGAGCATACAAGATGCGGATAGCAATCAAAGATGCAAGCTATTTATTACTGGACCAGATGATGTGACCAAGCATTCATGTTATGAAACATCAGTTGAAGAACTTCATTTTTAAGAATCAAACGGCTTCCTTAAAAAGGCCATTGTCACGTTCAGAAAGTGGCCTTTTTGTCTGCTAGACTTGGTGTACTATGTACTTGCTACCAAAGTATGGTCAGACTCTCGTAAGCTTATGGGACTATTTCACTGGGCTAATGTTCAACACATAAATTAGAGGAGTTTAGCATAAATATGATTCGCTCAGACCAATCTGCTCTAGACAAATGCGGATTGCCTAGTTTAACATGCTATAT